CTGTTGTAGAGGACGATCCACTCTCTGTTGTAGAGGATGATCCACTCACTGTTGTAGAAGATGATCCACTTGCTATTGTAGAGGAGGATCCACTCTCTGTTGTAGAGGAGGATCCACTCTCTGTTGTAGAGGAGGATCCACTCACTGTTGTAGAGGATGATCCACTCACTGTTGTAGAGGATGATCCACTCACTGTTGTAGAGGATGATCCACTAGCTGTTGTAGAGGATGATCCACTCACTGTTGTAGAGGATGATCCACTCACTGTTGTAGAGGAGGATCCACTCACTGTTGTAGAGGAGGATCCACTCCCTGTTGTAGAGGACGATCCACTAGCTGTTGTAGAGGATGATCCACTCCCTGTTGTAGAGGAGGATCCACTCGCTGTTGTAGAGGAGGATCCACTTGCTGTTGTAGAGGATGATCCACTCGCTGTTGTAGAGGAGGATCCACTCCCTGTTGTAGAGGAGGATCCACTCGCTGTTGTAGAGGAGGATCCACTCACTGTTGTAGAGGAGGATCCACTCACTGTTGTAGAGGACGATCCACTCACTGTTGTAGAGGAGGATCCACTCACTGTTGTAGAGGACGATCCACTCACTGTTGTAGAGGATGATCCACTCCCTGTTGTAGAGGACGATCCACTCCCTGTTGTAGAGGACGATCCACTCACTGTTGTAGAAGATGATCCACTCGCTGTTGTAGAGGAGGATCCACTCGCTGTTGTAGAGGAGGATCTGCTGGCTGGCAGTCCTCTCTAGAGCAAGAGCAGGCAGGTCTGCATGCATCTGTGTAACACTACTGGTGGTGGTGCTGACCAACTGCTCACAGGGGAGTGTGGGCAGGGCATCCTGGGTATGGAGGCTCCTGTCTCTGGTTCTGGGTGTGGAGGCTCCTGTCTCTGGTCCTGGGTGTGGAGGTTCCTGTCTGTGGTTCTGGGCGTGGAGACTTCTGTCCTTGCTCAGGCTCACAAGCCTCCCTCTTGGCTTAGCACTGCCATGTGTGCCTGAAAACACCCGTTAATAACATCTGTAGCTGCCCCAGACCCAGGCAGATGGCTTTGAACAACAAAACCTCATTAAGCAGTGAGGAGACTGTGTTCCCACAGAGGAGGGGCTGGGAGGCTGGCAGGCACAGACACCACATTCAGGGCCAGGATGTGAGAGGAGAGCTGCCTGTCTGCATGGCTCTCCAGAAACAGCAGGGGCAGCCCTCAGAGTCAAACACGGCATGAAGCACAGAGATTAACCCCCACCAACGCCATGTCTGAGGACGAAAATATCCCTGTATCTGTCCTGCACCCCATGACAGGAGGGTCCTGACCTCAGGGGCAGTCAGCCCCTCAGAACGAGGCTTGGCCTTGTGCTCGGGGCTCAGACAGGAGCCAAGGCCAAGCAGGACATGGCTTCATGGCTAGTGTGACAAGCAGTGACCCCCCTCCCCCCCGGCAGGTATAGATGACCAGGTGGGCAGTGACCCCCCCGTGCGGCTCTAGATGTCCAGGTGGGCAGTGACCCCCCCCCGTGAAGGTGTAGATGTCCAGGTGGGCAGTGACCCCCCCCGTGAAGGTGTAGATGTCCAGGTGGGCAGTGACCCCACCGTGTGGCTCTAGATGACCAGGTGGGCAGTGACCCCCCCCGTGCAGGTGTAGATGTCCAGGTGGGCAGTGACCCTCCCCCGTGCGGTTCTAGATGACCAGGTGAGACTTGTGTGTGTGTGTGTGCAGACAGGCTGTTCTCATCCAGTGGAGAGAGGAGTTGAAAACACTGACTGAAACGGTAGGGCTGGTTGTCAGCCCAGTTCATCTCCCGCACCTCCTCCCAACACAGCACAGACAGCTGGTCCCCACAGCCCATCCTCATGTGTGCTGGCTTGCCCAGCTGACAAAGAATTGCAGAGGGACACAGGATGAACCCCAGGGAGCCTGCATCCCGTCACACGACCACGGCCAGGAAGGCACTGGGTTACGTCACCACCCCTAGTCAGCGTCCATCGCCAAGAAGATAGGCGATGACCAGAAGATTCATCCGGCAAACTAGCTGGGCAGTTGAGGAACCTCCACTTCAGACCTTCTGATGAGCACTGTCAGTGGAGTCCAGGCCAGAGCATGCTGACACAAATTTGTATTACACCTGTCCAGACCTTTCGCTTCCCATTACTCTGACCTGTACCTGCAGCTGCTCCCCTCAAGGGGGCCACGCGTGCACCTGCCAGCTAAGGGTGCGGCCCAGCCTGCCTGGGGGAGGGCTGTGACTGTCCACACCTGGGCACTGCCAGCCACAGTTTCTCACTGACAGCAGGAAAGTATGACCCCCAAGGTTAACAAAGAATGCTTACCTGTCTTTGTCAAGTGAGTGAAGAGGCTGGGAACAAGCATCTTAAAAAGAGACTATTTCTCAGACTTCTTCTCTCCTACCGTTGGTGGAAGGGGAAGGCGTGTAGGCCTGGAGTCCTCTCCTGGTGTCCGTGGGGTTTGGCTCCAGGGCCCAGCAGACACCAAACTCTGAAGATGTGCCGGTCCCTCCTTTACCCAGTGTGGCGTCTGCCCAGCACCACCACACAGCTGAGGACAGCTGACCCTGCCCGTGGAGGACAGGGCTCCTAGCCTGGCGCAAATGCGAGGTCAGCAGTTATGATACAACACTGCTTAGGGGAGCCAGGACAACTGGACACACCCAATTCAGGCACAACGTTTCCCCCAAGCATTTCCTATCTACGGTCAGCTGAATCCACAAATGCGAATCCTCAGGTACAGAGGTGCTGGGATGGATGGAACCGTGTACACCCATGCTCTGCCTCGTGGAGCTGTGGGCCCATGGGTGAGAGACCTCCACCTCCACAAGTCATTCATTCCATATTGTCCAGGGCTGAGGCAGGGAGGGAGGGTGGAGGCTGGGGAAGCCAGGGCGAGATGTCTCTGGGCAGGGGAATGTGGCCCAAGTGGAGACAGAAAGAAAGGCAGCCTAGGGTGTGTAGAGACGGGAAGAAGACAGACACACAGCCACTGGGTCCTGAGCAGGCGAGGCGCTTGCGTCTTGTTCCAAGTACCAAGTGAAGGGCTAGACACCCTAGGAAGAAGGGCACTCCCCACCCCACCCCTAGAAGAAGGTTTGATTACCCACTTACCTCTAGAAAGAAGGGACCTCCTGTCCCCCCCCCCGCCCCAGGAGCTGCTGTCACACAGCGTGGATAAAGGGTACCGCCCACATGACTGGACATTGAAGGTGGCGGCTGCTTGGAAGGTGGGTCTGGCAGGAGGGGGTGAGGATTGCACGCCGGCCGGGGTGTGGCTGGACATTGAAGGTGGCGGCTGCTTGGAAGGTGGGTCTGGCAGGAGGGGGTGAGGATTGCACGCCGGCCGGGGTGTGGCTGGACATTGAAGGTGGCGGCTGCTTGGAAGGTGGGTCTGGCAGGAGGGGGTGAGGATTGCACGCCGGCCGGGGTGTGGCTGGCGGATGGAGGGAAGGCACAGTCCCCATCCCACACTCAGGTTTGTAGTGTCAAGTTTGGACTCAAGGGTTCCCATCTAGGGCTGTGGCTCCCATTTCAATACAGGGTCATAGAACAGAAGGAATTCAATGAACACCACACAACGCGGGGTTCTGGGACTGAGACCCAGCTCGGAGCCGAAGCCCCTTCCTGTCGGCTGGCCTGCTTTCCAAAGGCACTGTTTGTTCACTGTACACAGAGAGCCATTTGTCCATCAGAACTCTCCTGCTCCCCAGTCCACACCCCCAGTGCCCACAGTGCCCCAGCGTGGCCTTGTTCGACTCTGTGTGCTGCTCCTAAGTGAGAGGGGCTGGCCCGGCGTCCAGGACCTCACAGTGGACAGATGCTGACCGTGCTGGTGTGTGGCAGCCAGGTTCCACAGCGTGGCTCTCCTGCTCCAGGAACAGGGGTTTTTGAGGAGCATCTGACGCTGCTCCCGAGCAGCAGAGGAGGCTGTCTGGGCTGGGCCAGGAAATGCAGGCATGGCCCACCCCCTGACCTGCACACCTGTCAGGAAAAGCAGCCACAGCTGTCATTACGGAAGGCACTGGATTCACCTTGCATTCAGAATTAAGTAAGATGGCGATTACCGTGGAGCATGTGACCGTAAATACAGCCGAGTGTGCTGTGCCAGCAAGGGTAAGCACACGGCCCAGGGATGCACAGCCGTGAATGGCTGAGCTGGGCACAGCCCATGCCTCTGGGCAGCCCGGTCTGGGCCTCTTCCCTGGGCTCTCCAAACCCGTTTTTATCAACCATGAGCTCCCCTTAGTCCCGAGTGTAAATAAAAGTCTCTAAGATGTCAGCACATGCTTCACATAACTCGAGATGGCAAATTTTTGTTGTTGGGATTCTGTGTGTGCCTCCCTTGAACTCAGGGCCTGGGCGCTGTCCCTGAGCTCTTTTCTCAAGGCTAATGCTCTACCACGTGGGCCTCAGCTCCACTTCCAGCTTTTTAGTTTCATTTTGGTTCACTGGAGGGAAGAGTCTTTCCTGCCCAGTCTGGCTTCTGTGATTCTCGAATCTCAGCCTCCTCCAATGCCAGGGTGATCTCGGATTCTCCTCATGAACCACCCATATTAAGCCTGGTTGTTTTGTTTAAGGGGTTTTAAATAGTGGCTAGTTAGGATAGAGATTTTTCTTTCTTTTTTGCCTAAGGACGGATACATACTCTATATTCTGTAACCTGGATTTTAGTGAGAACAGGCTCATACTTAAAACACATTAATAAGGGTAAAAAGTCACATTCTAAAAAATCTGAAACAGGAATATGGCCAGATTTTTAAATGGGAAGGATTATTACTCGTCATATTACAAGAAATCCCTCACACACCGTAGTGGATCCCATTTACACAGTGGGGTCCTGGCAGGTCACTCAATGTGGTAGTGGACCTCTGCTCACACAGCGGGGTCCTGGAGGGTCACTCAATGTGGTAGTGAACCTCTGTTTACACAGCGGGGTCCTGGCAGGTCACTCAATGTGGTAGTGGACCTCTGTTTATGTGGCAGGGTCCTGGCAGGTCACTCAACGTGGTAGTGGACCTTTGCTTACATAGCAGGGTCCTGGCAGGTCACTCAATGTGGTAGTGGACCTCTGTTTATGTGGCAGGGTCCTGGTGGGTCACTCAATGTGGTAGTGGACCTCTGTTTATGTGGCAGGGTCCTGGTGGGTCACTCAATGTGGTAGTGGACCTTTGCTTACATAGCAGGGTCCTGGTGGGTCACTCAATGTGGTAGTGGACCTCTGTTTACACAGCGGGGTCCTGGAGGGTCACTCAATGTGGTAGTGAACCTCTGTTTATGTGGCAGGGTCCTGGTGGGTCACTCAACATGGTAGTGGACCTCTGCTTACATAGCAGGGTCCTGGCAGGTCACTCAACGTGGTAGTGGACCTTTGCTTACATAGCAGGGTCCTG